TGCAGCAGCGAAGGAAGAAATTCGGAGGGTAAACCTTTCCTCATTCGTCCTTGTCCCTCCTTCTTTCCTTGCCATCGATTGACTTGTTCTCTTTCCCTTCCTCCTCCTCTGACCTGAGTCCACTTGTTGCAGCTCAAGGTGAAGCTGGCGAAGGCTGACCGGCAAGATCGCGGGGTATATCGCAGGATGCTGAGCTGAAGTGTTGGAGCCAATCAGAGCAAGGACAGGCGAAGACAGGCCAGAGGAGCAGGGAGAAGAGAGAGGGAGGGCAGGAGAAGGAGGCAGGAGGGAAGGGGGAGGGAGAGGTAGACGATGAAGGGTAGAAGGATCAAATCTTTTTGTATTCTGTCAGATAAGGAGAGGGTGAGACGCTGGTCTACTTGACACACTTGGACACGTACGCGTACGTCTTCCATCCTCCCGGCACGTTGTACGCCTGATATCCGTTCTGCTTCAGCATGCGCACCACGTTGTATCCGCGCAGGCCAACCCCGCAGTAGAGGTAGATGGGCTTGTCCTTGGGCAGCTCGGACATGCGCGCGCGCATCTCGTCGATGGGGATGTGCTTGGCGCCCTTGTACATGCCGAGGTTGATCTCCTCCTTGGTTCGCACGTCCACCAGCACGTGGTTGGGGTCGCACTCCCCCTTGATGATGGCGTCCCAATGCACGATCGGAGAGTCGCCCCGGAGGCTGTTGGAAGCGATGAAGCCAGCGAAGTTGACAGGGTCCTTGGCAGCTCCGAACTGAGGAGCGTAGCACAGCTCTGACTCCTCCAGGTCGTACACCGTCATGCCCTGCTGGATCGCCATGGCAACGACGTCGATACGCTTCTCCACGCCAGCCTCTCCGATCGCCTGAGCTCCGAGGATCTTTCCGTCCTTGGGGCTGTAGAGAAGCTTGAAGTGAATCATCTTGGCTCCGGGGTAGTAGCCGACATGGTTGTTGGGGTGAAGGTAGACCTTCTCGTAGGGGATCCCGTACCGCTTGAGCGTCTTCTCGCTCGCTCCAGTCGACGCCGCCACCTTGTCGAACACTCCGCACACAGCAGTGCCCTGCACACCACGGAAGGTGCTCGATCGCCCGTTGATCACGTCGGCAGCAATGCGACCCTGAGCACTCCCAGTCAGCTTCCCCTCCCCGACCTCACACTACCGCATCTCACCTGACGGTTCGCAGGCCCGGCCAAGGGAACC